TGGAGTCGCGGGCGGCCTCGAGAGAAGCGACAACGGTCGAGGAGGAGGTGACGTTGATGGCAGGGATAGCGTAGCCCTCGGCCTGGGCGTGCTTGAAGAGGTTGTAGACATCCTCACCGTAGATGACACCGGTCCTAGAGGGGGGAATGTTAGCCTCAGCTCGCGATCATGCGAGCGGGGTCGATGTAACTTACTTGCCGTTGAGAACCTTGGAAGCCATGTTGATTGTTGTATCGGGTATGTATTGGGTATGTGTTTGAGTGTATAATGGAGAATACAATTCAGTGTCTGAAATTGTAGAAAGGTGTGGTATGGAGAGAGAAGTTTGCGCAGTGTTGAGAGCTATCTAGTTAAAGTTCAAACATGGTAGTGGGGTTACCGGACCACAAAAACCACCCCGCTACTGTAATGACCGCAGCAGTGACGCAGCGCGCAGCGTCGCGCCAGCTTCCCTCACCCAAAGTCGACCTACCCGCGCTCGAGTAAAAGCAAACATCACCCCACAAAAGTCCCGATACGCTATATCTGATACCATGACCTTTGGTTTGTCAAATTCTTTTCACACCGTGATGGCGCTGCGCTGAATCACCGCACTCCCAACCGTGGGTGATGGCAGTGCGCAGTGACATGGGCCTGGTCTGATACACGATGATGCTTCACGGCCGCGCTCTGAAGTCATGGCGGGGCCGCTTTCGCTCGGCAGCGCGGAAGTAAAGTGGGCTGTCTTTTTCACATTAGCTCGGTGAAGCATCATCGCAGTCCACAGGTGACATGTTGCCCGAGTCTCGCCGCAAAACGCTGTCGCTTTACGCCTCGAATTACCGAGCCAGCCACTTCTTCCATGTTACTCAGCTCCGTCCAGGCATGCGCCAGGTCCCACCAATGAAGTCACTCTGATGATGCTGGATTGTACACATGCGCGATATCGTGATCGTGATTGAGGCGTTGTCTGATTTTTCCGATATGCGGAATTCTACGTGACATGGATGGCACAGGTATATCTTTACAGCGAGGCGGAGGGATCCTCGGAAGGTGTGGCCTGGGCCTCCAGATGTCCGAGGTTGGGGTCTGGGGCTCGTAACAGCCGGCTGCTGCAGCCTCATGATTCCGATGTCTTCGCTCTGACTCGGATGTTCCTCACCATAGGCTCCTCTACGCCGGGTAACCGTATCTCCACCTTGAATGTGCCCAGCTGCTTCACACGCGATGTGTCGCCCTCCTCATGCCCTGAGAGGAACTTGACGTCCGCCTCGTTCAGTATTACGCGAGCCGCCTCGTCGTTGTGGGCGAGCGCTCCCCTTATGGTTGCTACCAGATCTGCAGTCGAGACGGATCCGTAGATGGCGTCTACATTTGCCTTCTTGCCCATTGCGGCTGCGGTCAGAATGTCTGCCGCACCAGACGCACCCATGCGGTCTCTGGACTGGCTCTCTTGCTCGATCCGTTGGCGGTAGAAGTCGATCGTGGGCGGTACGAAGGCGTCGAGGAGTTCCATGGATCGTGCAGGCTGTCCTTGTTAGTATGCGTAGAAATGGCGGTTCGATATAAACCTACGCTGAGTACGTTGATCTCAATCGGCCGCACGTAGTGTTTTGGCTGCTTCGCGAAATCGTCCTCCTCTTCCTCGACCTCCTCTAGATTCAGTCGTACGCCATATGTGAAGTCACGGGCCATGTCCACATCCTGCGCTTTGAGCTGCTTCATCTGGATAGCGGGTACATAGTCGGCGACGCGTGCGGGAAACCATCGGTTGCGCATGAGAGACGGGTTGAGGGGGACATATGAGCCTTGATCGTATTAGCCATATTGACTGGTGATGTTTGCGGTCAGTTTGACAGCTTCACTGGCTTGCCAGAGCGCACATGTCAAACTCCTGCAGTAGCTACATCGTACCTGCGCGACCAAATCTTGGCACATCCTTCAGCAGCTTCACGATAATGTTGCGCTCTGCCTCCTTCGCCTTCTTGGAGATGCTGCGAGTCTGCTGGGACCCCCAGACGTCCAGGTTCTGCCGCGTCACCCTCCTGATGCATGACGTGCACTGCGGGAGCAGCGTTGACGTCCTCAGCGAAGCCATTGCGCGTGTCGTGGTGAGATTGGATTAATCTCAAGAAAAATGCACGACGTCCACCAGATGTGGAGATCCTTGCGGCGGAGGGCGGAAGGTGCGAGTGGCCGGTGCTACTTGCCGTAGGCTCGGCATACTTTGCGCCCGCCTCACAAGCAAACGACAGATGACGGCCAGCGCAATATCCCAAGCTGGCCAGCAGTCAGACCATGGCTTCTGCAGCAGTCGGACACACCCTACGCCATTCCCATAGCATCTTCGCCGCACAACCTTAGCACGACCGAGCACAGCGTTCGCGACACCCTACACGACCCCAGTTTCTCCATCCAATCCCGCGGTAGCGGAAGTGACAAGCGCCGCAAGATGCCTGAGAAGCCCCTCACAATTGCAACCTACGCCGCAGGAGCCTCCCTCGCCGCCATTACCCTCGTCTATGTCTTTGGCCCGACGTATTTCCTCGACGACGATGCGAATGCAGCCAGCGGCAAGAAGAAGGGCGTAGTCGGCCTCAGCAATGCCGCGAATGACTGCTTCATTAATTCGGTGCTGCAGGCGCTCGCCGGCTTGCCAGACTTGCGCATATATCTCATAAGAGAGACGCATCGGCGCATGCTCGACGGTCCCGAAGTTTATGATGTGGACCCTGAAAGACTCAACGCCGAGACAGGGACCGCGAGGCCCGCAAAGCTAGAGGGTCTACAGCGCGGCATCCTCACACATGGACTCAAAGAGATTCTCGACCGGCTGAACGAGCGCCCCATATACAAGAAAACAATATCTCCCCAACCCTTCATCCGATCGCTCGAGCACGCATTCGGCACCCGCATTAGCCGGCAACAGCAGGACGCGCAGGAATTCCTCCAGATCGTCACCGAGCGCCTGTGCGACGAGTACCATGCCGGCGGAAAGGCCAGGCGGCAGGCTACACGGGCGGGCGCGACCATCACAACCGAAGACGGCGCATCGGAAAGGAGGGATATTGAACGTCAGTTCGGCGCAGCACCCCCTGAGGGTTCTAGTAGCCATGGTGTAGAGGAAGAGCCGGAAGACGATGAAGCACCCGCGGATGAGGAGGGCTTCCCGTTCGAAGGCAAGATCGAATCGCAGATTGAGTGCCAGACATGCCACTTCAAGCCGAAGCCTTCCGTATCGACCTTTGTCACCCTGACACTCAACGTACCGCAAGCCTCCTCCACCTCTCTCAATGCCTGTCTCGACGGAATGCTCAAGGTTGAATACATAGACGACTTCAAGTGCGAGCGCTGTCGGCTGGAACATGCGCTAAGGAGCAAAGACCACCAGCTATCGCGAGCAACCGATTCGGATGCACAGGCTCTGCTGCAGTCAGACATCGCGAAGATCCGACAGGCATTGGAGGATGATCCTGAGAACCCGCCTGAGGGCGTTGAGCTTCCGGACTCAAGCCAGGCACCCAAGCGTCGCATAGCGCGCCACATGTATATTTCGCAATTCCCCAAGGTTCTTGCGATACATCTGTCGCGATCAACGTTCGCCATCGGTGCTGCCTCGACGAAGAATCTCGCCAAGGTTGCCTTCCCCGAAGCTTTACCGTTGGGCGGAATACTACACCGAAAGAACTACCGTCTTCTTGGAATGGTCACACACAAGGGCAGCCATAATAGTGGCCACTACGAATCCTTCCGTCGTCAAGTCCAGCCTCTTCCGTTCTCCACGAATGCAACACTCGGTACCGAAGGCGCATACAGCCGGCAGGCCAGCCCATACCCGTCAGCAGCGCCATCGGTAGCGCCTTCAGCCGTACAAAGCCCGCGCATATCAGCACTTAATCTTCCCAACACCATCGACCGCGGGTCACCAGTCCCATCCACACCCACACTAAACTCTCCCTCAACACGATCGCTGTCCTCACAAGAGACCATGCCTGCGTCCTCAAGAGGGCCAGCACCGACTTCTGCACCACGCATGTCCGAGTCTGATCCACTACAAATGGCATCCTCTTCCACCGAAACAGGCACCGGCAGCGATTCCTTGTCACGTACGAGGAGTGTACGATCACTGAAGGAGCGAGCATCGGAGAAGGCCTCCTCGATAAAAGAGTCAAATCCTCTCAGGCGCAAGTCAAAGAAGACCAGTAATAGGTGGTGGCGTATAAGCGACGACAAGATCAAGGAGAGTAAGACATCCGAGGTCTTGAACATGCAAAAGGATGTGTATTTGCTGTTTTACGAGCTGAACAAAGTCTGAGCCAGGTCTGGTTGGCTAATGTATAAAGGAACGACAGGCATGCGGCACTGCAATTTGGACTGATACCAGTAGTGGTGATGCAGCAGAAAAGCCTGGATTAGATATTACTCGCTATGAAAGCGAGACACGAATGAAGAACGTGTTACATAATGTAATTGACGCAAGCTGTAACCTTAATCATTGTGTCCCTACACTCATATCTATGCGCACTTCCCTAAACCACTCACGTTGGCCATGCGTCGTGAATGCTACCTTTGTCTCATGGCTTTATCAGCGATGATATCATTGGTCAGACCCCACGTGGCGCTCCTTCACCAACGATAACCACCAATGGTCAGGATGCCCAGCCTGCAATGCAACGCCCTTGATGCTACGCTCATAGATCAACCTTAAATCTCCCCTCACTTGCGTTGACCGGTCACTTGGAAAGGGAATCGCAACACACATTTGCTCATCCTTGGGCCTTTCAGATCGTCCAAGACGCGCCCATTCACAACGGACAGAACGAGACTACGAGGCACATAAAGCACTACCACAGTTGGATCGATTCTAGCATCAAGCTGTCTTTCGTCAGGCTTCCCAATTTGTATCAAGACTTCGAGCAACAACAGTCATAGCGACCAGCTTGTGTACTGCACCAGTCGCTAGTCTTACTTTAAACCGTTCCTTCCTCATTGGAACCCAAGCTCCCACCAGTAAAACCAATATGCCAAGCCTCGAAGCAGACGAGAGCGCCTTCCTCCAGGCCGTGGGAAAGCAGACTTTCACGAACCCGCCCCGCGTTCTCATCATCGGCGCCGGAAGTCGCGGCACAGCCTACGCTGAAGCCGCACAATTTTCAACAAACTCCATCATCACAGCAGTATGCGAGCCCAATGACTACAAGCGCGCCGATTTCGGTCGGAAGTTCATCTGGGGTGACGGAGGTGAGGCCAAAAATCACCAAGCATTCTGTGGCTGGAAAGAATGGAAAGAGTACGAGACCAAGAGAAGAGAGCAAGAAGGTACCGGCCATGACGTGGAAAAAGGCATCAATGCAGTCTTCGTATGTGTACTTGATGAGATGCATGAAGAAGTCGTCTGCGGTATCGCAGATATGGGCGTGCATATCTCGTGTGAGAAGCCGATGAGTACGAGACTGGAGAGCTGCATGAGAATGTACAGGGCACTCAAGGCACCGGTCGGTACAGGCGAGGCGAAAGAGACAATCTTCGGTATTTGCCATGTGTTGCGGTACTCGCCGCACAACATGTTGCTCAGACATCTGGTACTGGAAAAGGATGTCATTGGTGATGTGTTAAGTATTGAGCATGTTGAGCCTGTTGGGTGGTGGCATTTCAGTCATTCCTACGTCAGGTACGACATGCGTCTCCATTCTGGTAGACATTTATGCTAACGGCATCAGAGGCAATTGGCGGAAAGAGTCTAAGACTGCGCCATCGCTTCTCACAAAGTCCTGCCATGACATTGACTTCCTCATGTGGATGCTCTGCTCACCTGGCCCGAATGCCGAGAATGCGACACCTCATCTACCCTCATATATTACATCTACGGGGTCTCGCACATTCTTCCGTAAAGAGCGCAAGCCGAAAGCAGCAGGTTCGGCCACAAACTGTCTGTCCTGCGTGTACGAGACAGATTGTGACTACAGTGCAAAGAAGATCTATCTCGAAAGGCACCTGAACAACGGAAACGCAGACTGGCCAGTCAAGATTGTGAACCCGGAAATCGAAGACATCTACAAGACTTCCGGTAAAGAGGCAGCTGGAAAGCAGCTTCTCAAAGACCTGGCTGAAGACTATAGCAATGAGACACCGATTGGTGAAGTTGAACGACGTCCATGGTTTGGGCGATGCGTCTGGGAATCGGACAACGATGTCTGTGATGACCAGATGGTGGCTATGACTTGGGAAGATGATCCAGTCGGAAAGGACTATAATGGCACTCCTATGCTGCATGGCCGGGGCGCAAAGACTGCGCAGTTCCACATGGTCGCATTCACAGAGAAGCAGTGCGAACGGCGGGGTCGCATCTACGGCACGAAGGGTGAGATTGAGTACGACAGCACCAACATCAAAGTACACAACTTCTCCACTGGGCAAACCAAAACTCACAGCCCTCATCTCGCAGGCGGCGGTCACGGGGGCGGAGACGAGGGGCTTGCGCGACAATTCCTCATGGCGGTTAACGCTGTAGACTCTGGCGCCATGCCCGCGTCAGACGCTCAGCGGAAGTTTCTCGGATGCGACCTTGAGGAAGCGTTCCGGAGTCATGCCATGGTTTTCGCGGCCGAAGACGCTCGAACGAAGCGCCAGGTAGTCGACTGGAAGAAGTGGTGGACCGAGTCGGTGGAGTCGCAATTACACGAGCGGTAACTACCTGGCATGATGACAGTTCAGGCGGGCAAGGAGAATACGTCGGGTAGTTTCCTTTCGGTCGCCGAAGATGACGGCAAATGTACGTAGGCGCCTAGATCAAGGCATGACCATCATGGCATCGGATGAGGCTCTTGCGAAGCTTATGAAACCGAAATGAGGGCTGCCAAACCTCGCGCCAATCCGCTGTCAGCGCTCGATGAAGCAATACTAGCCCCAGGCACGTTTGACAGTTAAGCTCCGCTTTCAGGCAATTAACGGCCATTTTGCAGCCGGTTTCGGCTCGTCTGGGCTATATTTGGTGATTATGCCAAAGGCTAATACTTCCGCTTAGGGGTGGATATGGGCGCTTAATAGACCATGAGGCTCAAGAGACGATGGGTAGGGCTGGAAAATTTCTCCACGAGAGCGTTTCCGGGTGCAACGTTTGATAGTATGGGCGCTTGGATTGGCAGATGGGTTGGGGCCAGTCAGATTGCCCGGTCTGTGGTACATTGGACGAGAACGACACTCGCGCTGTCTTCGGGAGCGTCCGAACGTCAGTTTGCGCTGCTTCGTAGGCCATGCTCAAGACGCCGCTGGGGGCTGTGCACAGAGTCGAAGTCGCATGGCATGGCGGATGCCAGCGCAGCAGGTGGGCGAGGCCCGAGACCCGGAAGAAACTTGCTTGACAACAACGCGGTGAACGCGTCGACGTGTGGGCGGTCTAGGAAGCGTGTTATAGTCGTGAATTCACTCTCTCCGCCCATTGTGAGTCACTCGTTCGTGCATGGCGGGCATGCGGGAAGACGCATATCGCTCCGCAGAAACGAAACGCTGGAGCGTTGTGGTCCAATCAAGCCGCCCTCGTCCATCGATGACTCTTAACGGGCTGCAGCTGCCCCACGCAGCGCGGGACCCAGCACGGACGACACGGCAGGCGCTAAGCGGACAACACCACGCCCGTCGATTCGTCCCTTCGCGCTGCCAACGTCAAACTGCCGCCCCAGCGCCCATCGAGAAAAGTCCCTCAGTGTACTACGACACTAGAACTCTGCTATGCGGCGCCGAGGCTGCCGGTTTCAGGTTATCCAACCGCCCCATGTGCAGGCGCGTCGCTGGCCCGCTTACCGCTTCGGTATACCACTTCATCGCGGCAGCCATTGACAGCGCAGCATTCCATGCCGCCATACTACATCGGGTATGCAACGCTGCAAGAATAGCAGACCCAGAGTCGTTCGCTAGCCACGTACTCGCCCAAGCCAAGCAGTAGCCACGCTATGTTTCAGACGCCTTGTGAGGCTCGAATGCTGTAGAAGGATGCTCTGATACTGCCGCCAGACCGCCAGAACGTAGTCTACCGGTCCAAGTCCCCGGGTGCTGGCCCTTCGATGGATCGTGTTTCAGATGTTTTAGCGCGAAGTGGGCGTTGGTTCTCGTGTCTCTACGCGGGGAACAGTAAGGATAAGAAGTCTGTCTGCGCCGCAATCAGCCAGTCCATCAGCTTCTTCAAGCACTTCATTTAGAGCACTGCCCGACGAGTCGATCGTGTCTCATTTCCTTTCTTTCTCCATCTTTTGCGCTTTTGTCTTAGACACCTAGAGCTGGCCTCTTCTATTAATCGCTATTCGATAATCTCTTCCTGTTACTATTCTCAGTCTCCACAGCGTAAGTCACTGCTTCTATTCTTGAGTTGATTCATTGGTGCTGATTGGAAGTAGTCTGGTAGCTTCACATCTTTCATCATGTACAGCCGTCAAACAACACCCCCGACTGCTCCCTTCAACTACATCCCGGGCAGCGTCGGCTCGGACGTCACATACTACTCCCAGGCCTCATCACCAGAACCTCACATTTCTGGCCCTACTCCTCCACGGTCACCTGTTCGCCAATATGGACCTATCCTCCTCCCCAAGGTCCGTATGCAAGATCAGGTTGCCGAGCCCACCAGTGGCCCCATCAGACATCGCAGGACGACGTCTACTTCTTCCAGCATCGGCTATGCCTACAGCCCATACTCACGGCCAGCCTCGATGGCGCGCCGTGGATCCAGTCCTTTCAACCACAACATGCACAACGTTCACAGCCAGTTGACTTCTCCTGTGTCAACTGCTTCCTCATACGACTTCAACCTCTCTACCCTGAACTCTCCCATCACATTCGCACAGCAGCCTGAGCTTCCTCGTCGATCCTCATATATCGGATCGCAATCTCGCTCCACATCGGCTAGCCGAGCCCGCCATGATCGCTCTGCCTCTGCTGGAAGCGTTGATGAGCAGGTCATCAGCCGGTATGGCTTCCCCACCTACCGCAACATGCCCAGCTACGTCACTGCTTCGAGTGCGCCTCAATCCAACTTGAGCCTTGTTACCTCCCTTCCTTCAGCATACTCCTCGGTGCAGGACATGCCCAGCTTCACCTCCACCTGCTCGCAAGACTTCACTATCCCAGAGTTTGAGGCCGCTCCAGCTGTGCAGTACCCCTCCTTCACCGACGTCAGCTTCGACAGCTTTCAGCAAGTCCCGGCTACGTCGTCTTTGGTTGAGTATCTCTCTTCTGCCAACCCCTCCCCCTCTCTTGTTCGCCGCGTCACCAGCGCACCACGCGGCATCAACAACCACTTCTGGTGGGACATCCGCAACCTCCGCAGCTGGGAAGACTTCAACATCACTACCATCAAGTCTATTCCATCGGTGCTTCCCCTTCTTGAGGTTCCCGTCCCAGCCAACTACCTTCCTCAGCCTTGCCGCCAGAACTTGCAGCCGGAGAACGAGTCCGCGCTCCAAGACATCTGCACCAACTACTACGCCAACAAGGTCAACGCCGCTCTCAAGGTCGCTCAGGGCAACTCCCACATGGTCATGCGCTCCATCAAGCCCGTCGCCGGCCAACGCACACAGCCAGAGTTCGTTTCCAACTACCCCTCCGACTACGAGAAGACTCTCTTCGGCGACAGCCGTGGCCGCGTCGTCGGTCTCGTCAAGTGCTATGACCAATGGAACACCGGTATGCGCAGCGAGTCACCGCCCAAGCAAGTCCTCTACCTCCAAGGACTCGCCCACCTCCACCGCGTGATGCGCGAGCACGGCTGCCGCTACGGCTTCATCATGACAGAGATCGAACTCCTTTGCGTCCGCTGCGGAGGCCCATCTTCCTTCTCCACCCCTGATCCCACAACCGTCAACGCCCAAGCCGGCGTCCCCATCTACGGTTACCTTGAGACCTCCGCCCCCATCCGCCTCTCCACATCCGGTTCTCACCCTGAGACTGGCGACATTCAACTCACTGCCGCCCTTGCCCTCTGGTACCTCCACATGCTCGCCAAGGAGAACCCCTTCGAGGGCATGGGTACCTGGCGCATGGATGTTGGTGGCCCCGCCGCACTCACCAGGCAAAACTACCTCGAGAAGGATGCTTGGATTCCTAAGCCCCAGCTCGGCGAGAAGAGGGAGGCGAAGAGGGTTAGGGGATGGGTCTTTCCCGATGAGCCGCTTAGTAAGAGGGAGTGTGGCAAGGGAAAGAGGGGTAAGAGTGTGGGTTAAGATATGGGTTTGGTAATGGGTTATGGGTTATGGGTCACGGTTATGAGGTATGATGGGATGATGGAATGGGATATGAAAACATAGCTGCTGGTCAGCATAAGCTCTGCTTCTTTTTTGCATTGAGCGGCGTTTTATCTTCTTGGGTTTTAGCAGCATTGCACGGCGTTCTTTGATTGGGTAGCATTTACATGGCGCGCATTATTTTACAGATCAGATAGTATCTATACTACTTAGTTCAGAAGCAATGGTATTTCTCACCATCAATATCTTGGTTCGCATGCTTGGTGTGGCTGGTGTGACTGGTGCTTCCGTGTTGGCGCTGAAGGCTGAGCCTTGGGTCTACGGCGCGCATCACGTGTGCTGGCTTTTGGGACGAGTCTTTGGGGTATAAATACCGCTCAGCATGCCATCACTCTCCTCCATCTACCCATATTTCTGCGGAGTCTCTACCAAAAGATCGGTCGCCACAGAGCATGTTGTTCCTGCTCCTTTCCCCCAAAAAAACGTTATTGTCAACCGATGACTGTCTTTCTGTCTTCCAAAAGGCCAGTGGAAGGCCCGATGTCTGCGACTCTGCCAAACACACCTTCACGTTACCAGAACCCGGTCTCATTCCCTTTCATGGAGACGAAGAATCCGAGCGATCCCCAAAACACCAAAAATTACCCCATACAATGCGATGTTCTTCCGCCCTGCCTTCTCGCTTCCAAAAACCTACATGAACATGCCATGTGTTCGGCGAACTCTCGAAAATTGAAATCGACCAGTTACATGGGCTGTGCTTCCTCCGTCGAGCATATAGAATATCTCTCGACCTCTCCGCATTCTTCGCTTCTTTATTACACTCTTTTCCTCAAAATACCAAAGAGCCCAATTTCACGACTCATGGAGAGTTCCGCCCTTCAAAGTGCGAAACAATGTGAACATGTTGTCTTCCGCCTTCTCTTTTCCATTACGATCTACTACAAAAAACCTAAAAGTATTTTGGGAATGAAAGCTCTGCGGTCCAAACAACAACAACGCTAGCAACATGCTGTGCTCCTCGTCTCCTGCAGGCAAGAAACATTTCCACCTTTTACTTCCGTAAAAATCAAAAGCTGGAATCGTGGACGACATGGAGAGATTCGGCGATCCGAACAACAACACCGCTAAAGACATGTTGTCTTCCTCGCCTTTATCCAGAAAAGGCAATGGTCAACATTCATTGCCGCAAAACCCGAAAGCTTGTACCAAATATCCTATGGAGAGATTCGGCGGTCCGAGAAATACCACCACTAGCATCATGCTGTCTTCCTCTTCTTTACCCGGAAACAAGCGACCAACATCGAGTTTTATGAACACCGAAACTACGTACGGCTTACAACATGACGAGGTTCGGTGGTTAAAACAACAGCAACACTAACAACATGTTGTCTTCCTCTCTCTCCTTCGAAAAAAAACCCCCCTGATCAATTTCCGCTTTTCGCAATTTAAAATGAA